GCTCCATTCTTCTCGCAGTGACAGTAGCACCTCTTACCTCCCCAAGGGCCCATTTTTGGTCCACCCAGCAGAAGTCTTGTAGGCAGGGAGCGGCCACCCTCAGGGCGCAGGCAGTGATCTTGGCTGTGAAAGGGGACAGTGCCACTCAGGTCCCTGCTGGGATTCAGCAGGGTGTGGAGTCTGCTTTCTCCGGACTTTGGGCACTGCCTCTGCTGTTCTCCCCGTGGGCGGGGCCCATGCTGGGCTCCAGCTGCCTTGCACGTGTCGGCAGCTGGCTGGTGGCCTGGTGGCCTGGTGGCACTCGCTCGTCAGAGGCTCTTGCCTCTGCAGTCTTGTGTCACAGGACCTACGTGGGGCCGTGGCTGCCAACACGGTGGGGCCTGAACCAGGGAAGGATGTCCTCCCCCAGGGCACTGTGATGCCTCCGGGGCTGGGCCAGGCCCCCTAACCCATCCTCTCTAATTGAACACCTGCCACTTCATCTTTATCTCTGGCTCCCTCGGCTGGGTCACATGGTGGTTCCTCAGTCAGTCTTCTCTGAGTAAATGGATGCATAGATTTGTTAATCCATTTTTATTTGTATTTATTCATCCATTCAACAAAAGTTATTGAGCAGTGGTCCAGGCACTGGGAAGCAGTGGAGCGCGTGCAAAACCGAGGCCCTGTCGTGATGGAGCTTTGTACTTTCTCCTGAAGAGAAGCATAAAGGCATCAACACCCAGAGACAGAGCCAGAGAGGGAGCTCACCTCTATTAGGAAAACTAAAAATGGGGAGAGGCTGCTGGGTGACAGGGACTCTTTGTCTGGAATTGTCCCCGAGGAGGTGGTATCTGTCGTGAGACCTAAATGAGAGAATGAGCATCTTGGGAAGTGAACAGGGGTGCAAAGGCCCTGGGGTGCACACAGAGGGGAGTCTCTCTTGGTGGTGTCTAGTTCCCAGTGGGTAGTGTGGGGTTCAGTGCAAGGGGACAAAGGGTCAAGGAGATTCAGGAGGTAGAACCATGCCTTGCTCTGTCATCAGGATAAAAAGCCAGAGTTGTCTTTCCATCACCCAGAACCCACACACAGCAGGCTGTCTTGTTCACCCTGCTCCCCAGTCCACCCCAGAGCCGTGCCTTTCCACTCCGTTCAACTGCTGCCCGCAGGAGCGCCGCCTCCTCCCGCCTGGCGGGCGAACGCGCCTGCCTTGGCTTTCTTGCCTCCTCTCCTTCCTCGCCGTTACACGTGCTGCACACCTCACTTTGCCTTAGCTTTCAAGAGCAGAAGTTGCATAGTATTATTTCTTTGCCAAAAATAGCTTCCCTCTGCCCTTAGAATGAACCACGCCCTGAACCTGCACTGTGACCCCTCTGGCCGAGGTGACCGTCCCTGGGGCCCTGCTGGCCTGGCCCTCTCCTGCCCTTCTTCCCTGTCTCCTGGGCCCTGCGCCTTCCACCCCGAGGCTCTGCCCCATCCCTGCCTGCCGGCTTCCTGGTGACGGCTCCAGCTCTCAGCTCCCTGCTCGCCCCTCGCTGGCTCTCATGTCCCGCACGTTTTCTCTTTTCATTCAGCGAGGCTCTGCCCGGCTTGTTGGCTTTTGACTGTCTGTGTCCCCGCCTCCCGAGAAGTGCTTTGCTGAGTCCCTGCCTGTTCTCGGCTGAATTTCCAAACCCTGGCGCCTGGCCCACCGAGCAGGCCACTCTGACGGTGCTCAGAGCACACACCGGCCGCCTTGCTGTCCAGGGGGTCCCCGGTGCCCCCTTCCTAGGTGGGGTCTCCTGCTGCAGACCTCCTGTGTCCTCCACCCCAGAGCGGCACAGCTGGATCCAGTAGGGGCTTCGGAAGTGGGCACGGCTCTGCTGCTTCCCGGCTGAGTGGCTTGGATGCGTTTGCTCATCTTGGCTGTTCGTTACTGCAGCTAGGAAATGGGCGTCATCACAGCGCCTGGCCCAGAGGCCCGCTGAGGTATCAGTGAAATCGTGTGTACAAAGTCCGAACCCAGCACGGAACGCAGCAATAAACATTAGCTCTTATCAGCAGCGCCGTTGTTCTTATTGTCGATCGATCGGTTCAGCGTTATTTCTCAGTTACCCTCAGGTAGCCTCAGAGTCTCCTGTGCGGCAGCCCTGCAGGGTGTCCAGGGTAGAAGCCGTGAGAGACTCAACAGCAGCCTGCTTCTGTGTCCTTCTTTAGCGATTCCTCCCATCTCAGAGTCCCTACCACCTCGTGGCTTCAGGTACCTACCTGATCTTTTCATTTATTATCATCAATAAGGTGATCATAACAGATCCTACGGAGTCGGTGTTACCGTGGCTTTTAAAACACCACCCAAGAGGCAGCTCTTAACCCAAAGGTGAGGTGCTGTGGGTTGGGCAGAACTTTGGGGGTGCTGGGCTCACCCCAACTCCTTCAGCTGTATCTCTAAGGACCCATCTGTCCCGCTCACCTGTGGACCGGCCTCTGGAGCTTCCCTGTCCCCAGTGTCTGTAACTCCGCACTCCTGCAGGCGGCCAACACTCTGATGAGGTCCTGGCTCAGCTCCCCAGGGTGGTGAGGAATCTTCTAGCAATGGAGGCACCTTTAGTACCCCTGCCCCACGGTTACCTCTGCGTCCCTTCCCTTGTGTAGGAGAGGTGAATGTCCCCAGCTCCATGAGAGCCTGCACCAGCACAGCCCTTTCCCATCGAGGAGAAAATAGCAAGAAAAACAGATGAGACTGATACCCTGTGCGCAGGGTCAGCCAGGACCCAGTCCTGGAGAAGCCCTAGGAAAGCTTTAACCCTGGGCCCTGGGCGGGCAGGAAGGGTGAGGGACAGAGGGGGAGGGAGCCTCTCTCCAGAGAGAAGTGGCCACCAACCTCTCTCACGTCTGGTACCCTGGCAGTGCCCCTCCCCTCTCCCCACAGGCCATCACTGCCCAGATGGGGACCTGGTCTACACCCCAGTCCTCAGGCTGAGTGACAGCACCAGAGGCCACCCTATCCACACCTGCCTCGGCTGGCACCCTCTCTGAGCAGCCCCCCCACCCTGTTCCCCTATCAAAGCAGTCGGACACAGGGTGTTCTGAGTCTGCCTGTAGTTGGTGTTGAAACCCCCATCGTCAGCCCAGGGCCCAGAAGGAGGGCTGGGCTGGAGCCAGGAGTCCCAGGCCAGCAGAATCCTAATCTGTGCTCTGGGACTCTACTCTGTGCTGGGCTTCTCTACAGCACAGCTTTGGGCTCACCTGAGCACTGACCGTGAGAGGGCTTTGGAAATGACAGATGTGATATAAATTATAGTTGTGATGGGCAGCGATGCTGGGGACGGGGTATCTGGCCCTGCGCTTCCTGCTGTGGCCCCAGCCCCAGGCCACTTTGACCCTGTGGAGGCCTACCTTGGGGACCCGGCCCCCAGGTGACAGCTGAGACTGTCCACAGAATGACCTGTGCACCTCTGGTCTTTCCCCAAAGACTTGTGCCAGACCGGGAGGGCATGGGGTAGGAGGACACTAAGATCATCAGGAGCCAGACCTGAGCAAGATGTTTTAGCAGCGTTCAGGCTGTTTGCTGAGCACCTAGGGACCTGAGTTGTTCCAGGTGTGTTTTTCTAGGAGCTCAGGCTAAGGAATCTTGGCAGGGTGTTTGCAGAGCATTTGCACATATTACCTTTTTTATCCTTGCTCTCCAATGTAGGTCTCATTTTATAGAGGAGGAGTTGAGCTCCAACACTGCAGACCCGAGGCCCACATTCGGGCCTGGCCAGCCATTGTGCTGGGAACAGAGGGGAGGGGTGGGCTTTCATATCAGGGAGTGAGGCTCAAGTGAGTGGGTCCCTTCTTGTGCCTGTCTTCTAGGTGGTGCAGGGAGGAGGTGTCCAGCTTCTCTTACCCTCCAAGTTGTCCCCCTTCCTGACCCCATAGCCTGCCCAGAGCTAGCAAGCTTTAATGAATCCAAAGTACTCTAGAAAAATTGACATCAAGCATGGGAGGGGCCTTAAGCTTTACCACCCAGAAGGAAAAAGCTGCAGATTCTGCAGGCAGAGGGCAGAAGAGAATGGAGCCAGAGGCCCCTGTAACACCCCAAGCCCCATCTCACGGTCGTTTCCATGCTCGGCGGGCACTGCATCCCTCTCAGGAGCAGCCTTGGAAAATAACAACCGGTCAAGCTGCAGAGCCAGCTGTGTGGGGAGAAGACAGCAGGCTGGCTATTGGCTGGGTTGGTTTAAAGAGAGATGAGGAGTCCCCAAAATATCAAACCCCCCACCTCTGGCCCGGGGCAGCCTCCTTTGTGGGTCATCCAAAGGTTTTCATTTCCTTGTGTGTCCCAATGTGTCAAAGGTTGGAAAGCTCCTTGACATCATCCTGTTTTTCCTTTGAAGGACGTATCACGGTCTGTTGCCCTTTTTCCCTTACTTTTGTTATTGGTCTGTTCCTTCATAAGGTGAGCTGCGTAGAGGCGAGAATCTTTTTTTCTCATCCACAGGCCAGAGCAATGATGAGAAGCACTTGATAAATATTTGCTGAATAATGTACCCATGCAGCAAGCTTTCCAGAATGAACGAATGAGTGAAAGTATCTAGCGTGTAGTAGATGCTCAGTGAGCACCCGTCTTACTTCCTGAGAATCATTATCAGCTAGCTTAGGGTGGCTGCTTCATGAGGCCCACCCCTTAAACATAAGCCTGTGCAGTGATTGGGAAAGCATGGGGGCTGAAGGCGGAGGTAGGAGAGGGGTGCTGGCAGGGGAACATAGGACAGGTGAGGGGAGGGTTTTGTGCCCGTGGAGTCAGCAGACCCTAGTGTCACAGTGGATCGTTCATCACCTGGCTGTTTTGGTGAGTGCAGACCTGTGTTCAGAAGCGCAGGACGGTGCTGTCGCCTTCCACCTGGCCTCAGGCAGATCTTGTGACCGCACCTGTCCCACTCTCTGGCTCCTCGATGGGGAGGGGGCGTCCTCTGGGAACCCTCCAGGGGCCAGGTGAGCCTCAGAGGGGCCTTCACGCAGCTGGGCGGCAGCTTCTCACACCCTGTCCACCTGCCCCACAGGTACAAGACGGTGGTGACCCCGCGGAGGGCGGCTGTGGCCATCGCTGGCTGCTGGATCCTCTCGCTTGTGGTGGGCCTGACGCCTATGTTCGGCTGGAACAATCTGAGTAAGGTGGAGATGGCGTGGGCGGCCAACGGCAGCGTCGGGGAGCCCGTGATCAAGTGTGAGTTCGAGAAGGTCATCAGCATGGAGTACATGGTCTACTTCAACTTCTTCGTCTGGGTGCTGCCGCCGCTGCTCCTCATGGTCCTTATCTACCTGGAGGTCTTCTACCTGATCCGGAAGCAGCTCAGCAAGAAGGTGTCGGCCTCCTCCGGTGACCCGCAGAAGTACTACGGGAAGGAGCTGAAGATCGCCAAGTCTCTGGCCCTCATCCTCTTCCTCTTTGCCCTCAGCTGGCTGCCCCTGCACATCCTGAACTGCATCACCCTCTTCTGCCCCACCTGCCACAAGCCCACCATCCTCATCTACATCGCCATCTTCCTCACGCATGGCAACTCAGCCATGAACCCCATCGTCTACGCCTTCCGCATCCAGAAGTTCCGGGTGACCTTCCTTAAGATCTGGAATGATCATTTCCGCTGCCGGCCGGAGCCCCCCATTGACGAGGACCTCCCTGAAGAAAAGGTGGATGACTAGACTGCGTGTGCCCCTGCCAGCCCACGTCTAGCAGGCCTCAGCCCGGACCCATGTCCCCACTGTCCCTCTGGTCTTGCTGGGCTCCCACAGGTGGGCTGTGGCTGTGACACAAGGAGGCTCTCAGGAGAGGCCCTCAGAGCAGGGGCTCGTCCCCGAGGAGTTCACGGCCCTGCATCCTGGGGGCCCGTGAGGGCAGTCTGTGGGGAAGGCACTGGGTGCTGTGGGGCGAGGGAAAAGTGTCTTGAGCCACTTTGTCTGCCCCTCCATCCCATGGGTGGTCCAGTGCTTCAGGGCGGGGCAGGTCCTGGGCGGGACTGTGGACGGGGCTTTGGGATTGGGGGAGAATGTTCAGGCCAGGGGAGAGAGTCTGCTGGTCTTAGGTGTTGATGGTGTAGCTCTGAGACCCAGCTTCAGGACAGGAGGGCATCTCTCCCAAGATGGAGGGTGGGAGAAACGATGACGCCCTGGCCTTACTTTCTCTACTGTTCTCTAGAAGGTGGCCAGGAGCAGCTGCAGGGCAGGAATGAAGGAGCGTCGGCCACCAACTCCAAGGATTCTGTACTTTTGGCCACGACAGGGTCAGGATACCTGCTCTACTAACCCAGGGCAGCCCAGGGTTGTACTTGAGAGAGGCAGAGGAGTGGTCCAGAAATCATTTCCCACATTTGCTTTATTCTTCACCAGCCCTTGGATGGGGGTGCTCCAAGCCCTGGGGAGCAAGGCTCTGTAGCCACTGTCTTCAAGCATCCGCCAGGGGGCAGCACCGAGGCTCTCATGCCCGGAGAGTCCCAGGAGCCTGGCGTGCAACTTCCTATCTTCTGGGCCACCACGTTCCACTAGCCCTCCGTGACAGGCTTGGGCTGCCCCGGGGACACCATCACTGCTACTTCGAGGGCCAATGGAGAAGAAAGCTTCAGTTCTTGGAGCTTTCTTTGGGGAATGGGGTGAAGGAAACATCCCAGAGGCCTGGAAGGTGGCGTGTGGCGGGCAGGAACCATCCAGAAGGGACATCGGCAGGGCGAGAATGCAGGAAGGCTCTTCCTGGCATTTAATTCCCCATGTGGCCCTTACTCTGCGGGGGACTTCGGAAGCTGTGGTGCAGTTGGAATCCAGGCCTTGAGGGCTCTGACTCCTTGCCAAGAGCTGGTAGACCGTCATGGAGGGTGGGGTGGGGAGAGATGGTTATGGAGCTCATGGGTTCTGGGTGTGAATACTGACTCCAGGCCTTTGCTTGCTGGAGATGAGGTGTCCCTGGCTCCTAGTGGAGCCCCCTGTGACTAATAAAAGACCGTGAACCCTCGTGGAGACAGCGTCTCTAGCACCCACTGCCACTGGTGTCAGAGGAACCAACACAGCCTCGGCAGAGAAGACAGAATGGGGGCAGGAAGAAGCTAGGAGAGGGGGCGTCGGGAGGGGGTTGGAGCCAAGAGGGGGCCGGAGAGGTGTTTCTGTTGCTATAGTTACGCACCTGGGGAAGCAACCCCCGAGTCAGCGAGATCATGACTGGAAAATGCCCGGTGACATCTTGAGACCCTTCCCGTGTCACTTTCCTCAAAGTGGCATATTCAGTGCCACCCCTGTAGCGACGCAGCGCCTCCCCTGCACAATGACGCTCACTGCCGCAGAGGCCCCTGGGCCGCTGCAACACTGCTCTTTATTAGGGTGCTTTTCACTGGCACACAGCTCGGCAGGGCAGCCTGACCTCTGTACCTTCTGGGCACCTTGTGCCAGGAGCCCTGGCCCGGGGCCTGCTGGGCCCACTCCCAGGTCCAAGACTTCGTCATCTGGGGGCAGGAGGCCAGCAGGTACCAGGGGTGGCTCCTTCAGCCGTTGCTATGGAAATGCAGGTCTTGGGTGTCTGTGGAGCTGCATTTTGGGACTGGTTCCGCAGGCCTGCAGGGCCTGGCAGAGAACAGATCCTGCCAGAACAGAGCCCGGGTGTGGGCTGAACACCACCACGTGTTGGAAGAGTGATTAGAGGTGGGAAAATTACATCTCTTCCCCTCCCTCCTTCAGGCCTGATGCCCAGGGCCGAGCTCTGCCCACCACCTTTCTAGATCCTTCCTGACTTATCCAGAGCCTCAGAATTGCTTGGGGAGGGAAGATAGGGCAGGGTCTGTTGTCCCCACTCTTTGGGTGAGGAAATTGCTAAGGTCGCCACCCTGGGCCTCCCCCTGCAGCAGCACCCACCTCCGAGGCTCAGCAGCTCCGCCCTGAGGTACAAAGCCTGGACACTGTGAGGTGGCCGTGACCCGGCCTGGAGCTGACTGCTGCTCTTCCCCCACTGTGCCCCTGCTGCCAGCCTCTGCTCTGCTTCCCTGCTGCCCCCACACATAACACAGCCACCTACCTGTCTCCTCATCCCAGCCTCTTCCCGTCACTCTTCAGTGTGTGGCTGAGGCTGGAAGAGACCCTGTGGTTAGAGCTTGGGGAAGGCGGAGGAAGTGAGAGGTTCAGGGTGACACACGGGGTCCTGTCTGCAAAGCACCCTGCTACAGGTGCGTAGCAGACCCTGCTTGGCAAGTTGTTCAGGCAGCCTCTTCTGTCCTCACCACCCTTTCTCTCCTGCCTTCACTTTCTGCTCTGATCTGCACCTAGTCCAGTACCTAATGAGGAGCTTCCATCCTCCCATCCGCAGCAGGGACTCTGGGGAGTGACCGTCTTCAGACCCACACCTTTGACCTCCAGCCGGCAATCCACAGAAGCCTCCCCCAGCACATTCACGGCCTTGCAGGTGTAGACTCCAGAGTCAAAGGGGCTGGGTTTCCGGATCTCCAGGGTGCAGATCCCTTGCTCAGAAAGGGCTCGGTACTTGGGGTTGCCTTTGATGTCCATGTTGTTTTTCATCCAAATGATCTTGGGCTGGAGGCACCGACAGAGGAGCGAGGTCAGGGATGGGTGTGGCCTGCGACAGGGCTCCCAAGGGCCACTGCAGTCCTTAGTACAGATGCCTGGAGGATTCTCTAGCCCTCCTGTCCCCAGCCATCCCCCAGGCAGGGCCTCTCACCTTGGGTGATGCCCGGACGCTGCAGAACAGCTGGGTGCTGTAGCCAGGGGTGGAGGTATGGTCAGCCAGGGGCTGGGTGAATGAGGGTGCTTCCGAGAAGTCTCGCTCAATAAACCCTTGAGATTTGGCCGTGATATCTGGGTTCAGGGGAGAATTTGAGGTTACAGGAGCAGAGGCGACCTTGGAAGACTGGTCTTACCCAGCATCTTTGGGAAGCAGGTCATGGCACATTCATGGAAGGTAGAAAGAGAACGTCACAGAGGGAAGGAAACTGACACAGGGCTGAGGTGGGTCAGGGGAGCAGAGAGGAGTGGGTGGGGAAACTGGAGCCACAGCAGATCTCTGCAGAAGGTGGAGACCAGCAACCTGGAGATAGCACACTTCCTCTCTTGGTCTTTGGAGACCCATCTGGTTTTCTTTTTTTTGAAACAAAAATTTCTTCCTAATTCTGTGCAGCTCAGTCTGGTGTTAACAAGAGTACACCTTCCAGAGCCCACACAATCTGGCGGGGAGGGCCTCAGACACGTCAGGTGGTGGGAAGAAGGCCTGGAATTCTACATTTGACGCAAAAGGCTCGGCGCCTGCTAGAGACAGTAAATGCCACATTCTCCGTGTTCGTCTGTGTGGTGTTCTCTTTGTGCAGGGAGGTTTGTACTGTTGTAATCTTGCCAGGGTCCGCCTATCACACACACATTGCCTTTCAGGTTGGGTTCTGTGGGACACTATGCAGGACATCCGGCAGCCACACATCTCTAAGATAAGTGTACAGCCTCCTGAGGGCCCTGCTCATTTGCAGACGTACCAAGGAGCAGGTATTCAGGGGAAGCCCAGAGAGATACTGGAACCAAGGTAGAGGTGCAGACAGTAAAGGTCAGGATGCCTGCCCTGCCCGAACCCACCTGCCTTCCGGATGTGTGCAAGCTCCTTGGTGGTGGCGCCTGAGTCACTGAGGCCGCACAGGTTTTCTGAGAAGACCCGGAAGGAGTACGAGTTGCCAATGATGAGGTCAGAGATGGTGCAGGTGGTCGGGTGATAGCGCTCCAGCACTGTGAACCATTGCTGCGGGGACCCCAGCTTGTCACCCTCACCTCTCACCCCTGTTCTCATCTTCCTTGCTTTCCCAGTAGCCTCCTCCTGGCAGGGGCTCATTCCATGTTCTTAACCCTGGGAGGCCCAGCCATCCAGTTCTGAGCCAGAGGGACTTTGCATTGGGGAACGGTCCTGTGTCACACAGGGGAGCACTCCGGTGAGCTCTCCAGTGTCCTCAGAGAATTCTAGAGCCTAACTATGCAAAGTGTGGCTGGCAGATGTGCAACCTCAGCAGCACCTGGGACTTCCTGCCATGCAGGACCCAGCCTCCAGCCAGACCTAGACCTAAAATCAGAATTTGCATCTTATCAAATTCCCGGGTGATTCCTAAGCACAATAAGATTTCAGAAACACAGCTACAGAGCTCAAAAGGCTGCAGAGAGCCCAGACCAGCCTCTCCTACAGCTTTTAGGGGAAACTGAGAGACACGGAAGAGTCTTGCTGAAGCCCGCTTATGGATCAGTTAGCAGTAGCATCAGAGTGGGGTTCTGTGACTCGCAGTGGGATGGACCTTCCCAGACACCGTAGCCACTTCCTCCCCACCCTACTACCCAGCCGGCTCACCCCTGTCTTTTTGTCTGCCTTCTGCACCGTGTAGCCCAGGAGCTCTGTGTTGCCTGTGTCCTGGGGTGGAGTCCACTCAAGGGCAGCATTGCACCCCCAGACATCCAGTACCCGGATGCTTTTTGGGGGTCCGGGCTTCTCTGCAGAACCAGAGTGGGAAGAAAAGTAGGCGTGAGGCTGGGCCTGCCATGTAATGCCCACACCCAAGGTCTGGCTCCTGCAATGGTTCCCCCACCTGCCGTCAGCTCTAGGGTAGGAGGGGGAGCTCTGAGTCCCACGAGGCAGCCCCTTCTCCCTCAGCCCGTACCGATCACCAGGATATCAATCGTGGCCTTGGCCTCCAGGCCTTCCAGCTGTAAGGTGAGCTCATAGCAGCCTGAGTCAGAGCGCTGGGCTGAGCGGATGAAGAGGATGGAGTCCTCGTCCCCGCTGCGCACACTCACTCGCTGGCTGTCCAGGGCCTGGCCGTTGTGGGTCCATGAGGCTTGAGGCTTGGGCTTCCCCTGACAGAGATGAGTGAGTCAGTGATGCCAGACACCCATGCCCACCAGCTCCAGGAGTGTCCGGAGCTGGGCCCAGGAACCTGCTCTGTCGGCCCAGAGCTGCAGCCAAAGCTGTAGCCACAGGCACTGCCCGAGGACATGTCCTCCAGGCTGGAGGGTCACAGCAGGGTCACATGCATGGCAGAGGGAGGCCAAGGCCGTCTCGTCTGGTAGTCCTCAGGAGACCGCACGGGGACACTAACATTCCCCTTGCACGTGTCAGCCTGGGCTCTCGCCCTCCCCACACCCGAGGAGGCAGACCCACCTGGAAGGGGATTTGCAGGTTGATGGACTCCCCCACCCGGCGGATGTAGGTCTGACGAAGGTGGCGGGGGACACGGATCTTGGGGGCTTCTGCAAGAAAGCAAGAGTCTAGGCTTATCACAGCAGGTGGACAGTGAGATGGGACTCCTGGGCAGGCATAGCGGACAGCTGGTGTGGGCTGCTGGCCAGACAGGGGGACTTCTGGGTGTGTCCCAGCTGCCTCCTTAGGAGAAGGGCAAAGCGCTCAATCCCAGGGTGGAGGGACCCAAATTCCTTAAGGGCCTCGGGAAGCTGGGAGTCAAGAGGTTCCAGGGAGGTCAGGGCCTCCATGGTGTGAACTGGTAAGCATCCCAGACACTCCCTTGGCACCTCCACCTTGCCAGGCTAGGATTTGCCCTGCAGCCCAGGCATTCTCCAGCTCAAACTGGGGAGGCAGCTGGCTCTCTGTCTCCCCCTGCAGGAGAACGGGTGTTGCATCTGTTGGCCCAAATTCCTAGGGAGGGAGGCACAGCGCCACTCATCCTGTGATCCAACGTCCCGCACGCCCTGGCCCAGGACTTTCAGCGATGCCTTAGTGACACCCTGTGTGCTTATTGTTCTGGGAAGATTAGAGTCTTGCCGACTGAAAGGAGGCTGGAGCAGGTATAACCCCTTCTTCCTGTGTCCCCTCCCAGTCTTTAATCTCCAAGGAGTCCTGCTATGGCACGGAACCTCCTTCCTGATCACACCCTAATCCAGTGCAGCCACTGCTGTCTCTGGACATTCCTAGGGAAGCTGTAGTGGCCTCTGTCCCTGTCCCTGGAGGTGGCTTCTCAGTAGCAAACAGGTGGCAGCAGTTGGTCGTGGCTTGAAGGGCGGCCAAGGAAGAGACAGTGAGAAGGAACTCTGTGTCTCCAAGGATTAGCTGAGCAGTCACTTGGCTTGGGGACCGCAGGCCTGGAATGTTCTAGGGGCAGCTGCAGGGGGTCAAGAATGCTTGGCAGCTCCAGGTGGCTGAGGTGGGACAGCTGAGCAGCTGAGGATCCTGGACAGCCCCACTCTGCCCTGCCCACAGAGCCTGGCTGTCTCACACTTGTTGATGGCCTCCTCCCCTCTTCTCTCCAGGAAATCCCCTCCGCTCCTGCCTGAGGAATTTTAATGGAGAAGTGGGTGCTAGTTCGGCTGGCCCCTTCAATGCTGGCCCTTGGAGGCCTCTCTGTCTGAGCTCCCTGGGGACGGTCTGGGACTCTCCCAGCCGGGAGGGCTTTCTGGCATCAACACGGCCACACTGCAACTGCCCATGGAGCTGTGCCTCGCCCCAAGCCTGGAGACCACCAGAGCAGATGCCCAGCAGTGGTGGACCATGAGTGGTCCTGTGCGAACACCAGACTCTCAGACTGTCACCAAAAGGCTGGGTGGCCCTGAGGGAGTCCCTGGTCCCTGGACCCTTTGGGATGTCTTGGTCTGGATGCACCAGCCATGGAAGTCTGTGGTTCTAAACTGCTAGGTCCCTCTAGCCTCAGGCCTGAGTAGTGCCTTGAATCCAAACCAGACTCCTCCTGTGGCCATGACACCCTATCCTCCTATCACCTTGTCCAGAACTGTGTGGTTCTGCTCCAAGTCTCCACTGGAACCTTCGTGATAGAGGAGCACGAAGGAAGATGGAGAAGCCCTCAGGCCACCTGCTTGCCTGCATCTCTCTTCACCCTGGGGCCCTTTGCTGTCTCCAGACACCTGAGACCAGACCAAATGACTCATTGCCATTAACAGACTGAAACCTGATCGCTCTGGGAGGGCAGCAAGGTTAGGACTGAGGCTCATACACCCTGCAAATAGAAATATTAGCAGTGGGAACAGCAGCTGGCCTCCAGATCCCCAGCGAGGCACTACCTTCTTGGAGAAGGCTTCACAGACCTTTCACAGACCCTCTTGTTCCCACCAGGGCTGTGGGAGATGGGGGCAAGCAGGTCTTCTCTGTGTTCCAGATGGTTTGGGAGAATCTGGAACCCAGGCCTTAGGAAATGGGCAGAAAATGAGCTGCCATTGCTGCTGGAGGGACTAAGACGAGATAGAAGGAGGGACAGATAGCTTCTTAGCTTAGGCACCCTGAGAAGGGTGACCCCAGAAGCTGGCTTTCACTTCTAGGCAAAAAGCCCCTCCCCAGTGCCTGGGGCAGGACCACCAGGGGAATTGGCTTCTTTGACCTCCAAAGCCCCTTGCTGCTGAGAGAAGCCATCTCACACTTTTTCCAGGCAAGATGGCACCCGCATGTGGCTTGTGTGTTTGTCTGTGGGAGGGAAATGGTTGCCTGGACAACGACGCCTGCGCCCAGCCTCGGTTTCTCTGCTAGACAAGGGCTGGGAAGCAGGAGGTAAGCTGGCTTTACCGATGATCTCTTGGATATGGATGGGCTGGTCCAGCTCGGCAGGCAGGCTGGCCCCCGCGGAGCTGACCGCGGCCACTCGCAGGAGGAACTTGTCTCCCAGAGCCAGGTTCCGTACAGTCTGCTGGGTCACCATCATGGGCCGGGGGTTCACAGGCACCCACTCTGAGGCTGAGGGGAACAGAGCACATGTAAGGCTGTGGTGACATGACCAGGGGTGCTCTTCTCAGTGGGACTTCTCTCTCCGTGGTGGTCTTGGGAAGTCAACCTCCCTTCCCAGCCCTGCCTCCTCCCTGCTCTCCTTCACCAACTTCTTACTGTTGAGCCATCAAAGACGATGTTAGAGCCCTGGACTAGTGGCCTGGGATAGGGTTGCTGAAGCCCTGAGAGGGTTTGCCATATTCATAAAATCACAAAGTAAGGAAGAGGTAGAGGCGGGGGTGAACTGGTTGTCATGAAGGACCCGGACCAAACTCCTCTCCCGCTCCCTTTTCCCTTACTGGCTATTGCTCTCCCCTCTGCAGCACCCCTGCTCTTTACCTCTTACATTGTCCTCCCCGAGCAGGGAAGGCTTAGCACCTCCTTCCCTTCTCATCAGAGTGCTGCCCAGTGTCCCTCACCCTCACATAACTCAGAGGGTCCCTTGGGCTGGAGGATGAGGGGGCTCCTGAGGTCACAGGATGGCCCCCCCACTTTCAAAGGTCCCAGTGGAGCAAGAGGGGATGGTTAGGGATGCTAAGGAGACCTCTGCTTGCATTCCCTCCCTCTGTGTCACCCCTCGGCCCAGCGCCCTCCACCCTACCTCCCCTCTGCAAAGCTGAGCCCAGCTTACCTCCCTCCCGACAGAGCTCCACCACGTAGCCCTGCAGCCCCAGCCGCCCCAGCCTCTCTGGGGGCTCCCAGCTCACAGTCACAGAGTTGTGGCTCACATCCATGATGGTCAGTAGCAGCGGGGAGCTGGGGACATCTGAGGGGAAGCCAGGGGTGAGACGAAGAGGTTGGGGCCCAGGAGTCCCTGACCCCGTGCCTGTCTTCCCTTCCTCTCTGCCCCGTCTCTGGTCACCTTCACTTGCAGGTGCAGGCTTAGTGGCTGCAGAAGCTTCGGGAGCTGTAGGGACTGCAGGGGCTGTGGTGGGTGTGAGGGCAGGTGCCTGAGAGGCAGCCTCCTGGGGCTCCTGCACATGCTCTTCCCTGGTGGACTCTGAGGCTGCCACTTCTCCAGAAGGCCCTGTGGCAGGTGCCTTGGCGGACTCAGACACTGTCTCCTCTGGGACGGAGGCAGGGGCTTCCGAGGTAGCTTTTCCTGTCATTGCTGGGCCGGCTTCAGATCTGGCTGGAGTGCTCAGGGGTGGGAAGGGAGAGTCTGGGCATCCAGGATAGTTAGGACATCTAGGTCCAGGCTTATATAGCCAGGGGCTGCCCCACCCCAGCAGACGACTCCCAGCTGTGGGGTCAGGTCAGGCAGGGGGACAGCAGGGTGGGGAGGCACCCAAGCCAGGAATAGCTCTGGAGGAGGAACTACGGGCCCCTTGAGGAGCACACGAACTCACCATCACCCAGGCTGGACCTCACAGCCAGGGTGCTGGTGCCAAAGGGGGAGGGCACAGAAGGGTGAACTGGGACATCGCTGGGGCCTGTGCCAGGGAGCGGGGATCAGGGCAGTGGGAGAAAGCAGCCATCTGGAGAAAGACAGGGTCAGCTCTGAGAATCTGGCCTCTAGGGGGCCGCTTGGGCCTGAGTCTGCCAGACTGGGCCTGGACCCTGGACAGTCTGGACCAGCCTCCCTTGTAAGGGCTCCCCACTTTGCCCCTGGGGTCCACACAGCCCTGCCCCCCACATTCCCAGGGATTCCCACTTGTGCTGTACAAGGTTGAGGGTCCAAGAGAGGGAGGGAATTGGGATGGTCATTGTGGGGGGCTGGCCAGAGGGAGTCCTCCAGCGATGAGACCCCAGGAAGGAAGACTGTCTTTGTTTTCTGCTGCTTTAACCGAATACCACAAATGGGGTAAAAGTACAAACAACAGTGTATTTGCTTATGATTCTAGAGGCGAGGAAGTCCAAGGGCCTGGTGCTCACGTTTAGTGAGGGTTCTGCGCTGGGTCATAACATGGAGGAAGGACAAGGAAGATGAGGATATTGGGTTGAACTCATCCTCTTTGCTGGGGACCCACTCATGAGATAACTGACCCTCTTCCCCGATAAGGGCGTTAATCCATTCCTGAAGACATCACCCCCGTGGCCTAGTCACCTCTTTAAAAGCTCCACCTCGACACTGTTAAAAGCAATTACATCTCAACATGAGTTTCAGAGGGGAGATTCTAACCATAGCAGGACCTAAGCCCCTGCTTCCGGTCTCTGTTAGGAGACTGGTAAGGACCTAGCCTGCCTCCTCAGTTTCCCATGGATTACTGAGAACCCTTTCCCTTGGGGTCTTGGTTGAGATGAAGTCATAGGCAGACCTGAAGGGACCCTCCCTGTTGGACAGCAGCAGTCTGAAACTTCCAGCCTCCTGCCTGGTACGGACATTCCCCATGTGGGAAACCAGGTCCTCGATTCACTCAGTTGACAAAATGTTAAAATGGGTAATAATTTAAAACCCAGAGGACCAGAGTTCAATCCCTGGTACCAAAACATAGATAAATAAATAAAACCCAGAAAAATGCCATGTGTCGGGGGGAGGGGGAGCAATTAAAAACTTGCATTGTCAGCTGGAGATGAAATGGAGCCATGACTTTGGGAAGGGAGACAGCGCGAGCGACATTCATTGTGTTCCTCCTTGGTAACCACGCAGGTCCACGGCTGGAAACGCTCACGCATGAGCCCCAGGAGACACAGGGAAAGCATTCAAGGTAGGATTACTTCCGCTTCCCTGAATTTGGGAGGAAACAGTGCTCTGTCAACACTGGTATAGATAAATAACCACGGGGCACTTCTGCAACTCTAAAGCGAAATATGGACTAAAATGAAGAAATTCAACTATAAGCCAGCTGATCTCAGACCTGACTGTGAGCAAAAGGAGCCAGGCATGAAGAAATGGTGTCTTCTCATACACGATAAACTCAAGATGCATCCACAGGGCGTGAGCCCATAAAAGAAAGCAACGCCAAGGTTAGCACGAAGGTCTAGATTACTGGCCCCCGAGTATGGGATCGTGGAGGCTTCAGGATTCCGCCAAGGGTTCATTTTCTGCTGTCAGTGGTGATCACTAGGGTTTTCAGTTCATAATAACTCTTTAAATCAAACAGATACACTGTATGCACTCTTTAGCATGTATGCTGTATCTTACAATTTAAAGATAATGAAGCATGCAATTTATTCAGGGTCCTCAGGAGTAGAGGGTCTGGAGAGCCTTTGGGGCCAACCTGCCTGGGTGCCCGTGTCCTCTGCCAGGTCACTCAGTGTCCTGCCGGGCAGGGAGCAGGCCCTGGAGACCCGATCACCATCCTTGGCCTCTGACTCTGCAGCTATAAGTGAATGTGACTAATTCTGCAGGACCCGGCGTCAGCCCTGGAGACCTGTCCCGAGCTGGGGGAAGGGTGGCCCCAGGGGACAGGAGTTGGCTCTTCTGGCCTCCTCACAGCCCTGGGGTTTCAAAGACTCTGTGTGGTAGGGCAGGCAGAATTAGGGATCATTTGGTCCCATTGGCCAGCGCTGAAATGCCAGGTACCTCCTAAGGCTCTGGCCAAGTCCTTTTGCCTTTAGCAGAGCTTTGACCTTTGAATCAGCTGCATCTGCCCAACTTCAGCTGGTTCAGATTTCAGGGAAGCAGATAGGCATTTCCTTCCTTATACCTCAAAGCTAAGTAGCAAACCATCGGGCCAGTGCATGATTATCCCAAGTCACAGATAATCCAAACGTCAAGGAATCTACAAATAAATTCTTTTTAGTTTTGGAGCATGGATCTGGACACTTGTTTGGGTAAAGTCATGTCCAGGGCCCTGGAAGTTCACAGAAGCTGGGAGAGAACATCTCCACCTCATAAAGGCTGGGAATATGGCCGGTCTTCTAGGCTACTCCTAGTCCGACCTCCCCGTCCTGTTGCGAGTCAGCTTTGATCTCTGCATAGGCTGAGGGATGAGTGTGAGAGGGAGCTAGAAGAAGGACAGAGGGCTGGGCACAAGGACAGCACTGGCGCAGCCCACAGCTTTCAGGTCACCAGGAGTGCAGAGATGGAAGATCCATCTCTTAAGCACCCTGCAGAGGTTCCAGCCCTGGGAGGCTAGGGGGTTCATGGGAAAATGCCTACCTTTCCTCCTGGCCTTTCAGGGAACCACAATGGGTCCTTTAAATGAGGAATTTGACTTGAAACCCCGGATGGCAAGGAACTAATATCTAGAAGGCCATTGGCCATGCTTGGGTGAATCCTAGGATGCTGCCTCCTGTGGGGTCTGGCAGAGGACTTGGTGCCCTCACCTCCACAAGTCGAGGGCCCCCAAGCCTCGGAGAGAGGAACCCAGAAAAGATGGGGGAGGTGAGCCCAGAGGTCCCGAGTGCCCGCTAAGACAGACTGCAGCAAGTGCAACCCACTGTCAAGCTCTCGTGCTTTATTGAGCAGCTGCGGAATTAGGAAAGGGAAGTGAGACAGGAGACACGGTTATGTTCCTAAGTGAAGGTTTTGAGTCGGGCTTCGCAGAGGGTATGATTAGTTTGGTCACTGTGTCTTGTAGGATGTTTGCCTACTCGGTGGCAAAGGCTGCCAAAACGCTGTCCTTTCAGGAGGGTGGGGTAAAGAAGTTGCAGAGATCTCCTTGCGCTGGGGTTGGAGTCTGTGAGCATTTCCATGGACCAGCAGATGTGAATTAATCCTGTATTTTACACTGGGCTGGTCTCCAGGCTCACTGAGCCCAGAGTCCCACACTACCTCCTGCCCACAGGATTGAGCTCCAATCTCAGTGCTGTGGTGCTCTGCACAGGTTCCAAGGGAGGGAAACTGAGGCTCAGCAGAGGGACTTAGCAAGTGATTAGGTTCCGGGCCAGCTGGAGTCAGAGGCGTGAGGGTGTCCTTGGCACTTGCTGTGTGCAGAAGGTCAGGGCTAAGCCGCAGCAAGAACATCCTTGATGGCGCTGGTGAGGGGGAAGGGGAGATTCTGGCCACAGAAGGTGCCCCGGAAGTCGTCCAAGTCCAGGGTCCACACGATGGCACCTGCCAGCTGCCTGCTTTTCAGGAACTGGGCCTGGTGAGAGGGGTCCAGAGGGGCCGGTTTGTGTGTGGAGGAAGTGTGTCGGGTGGCTGTTCCCTAGGGGAAGGCACAGTAGTACCAGAGACCCAGCCTTCGGGACAGGGGCAGGGTCCAGATGCTGGGATCATGGCTGGGATTCCCTCTCCCTCCTGGTCCCGAGGCATGGAGGGCTTTAGGGAAGCTCACCTTGCTTTTGACACTTTCCGGGTCATCATACCCCACCCACTGGTTGCCCTTGGTAGCGTACGGGACCTTCTGGCTGGGGATTCTCTGGACTATGGCTCCATTGAGGAAGTCACAGATCTGAGCAGAGAACAGGACAGGGGCAGTGTGGGGAAACTTTGCAGGTCACCAGAAGTCACTCCCCAAATCTCTTCCAGCCCCTGCTTCAGCCTGCAGTCTTACTTGCATGGTCTCTAGGCTGCATGCTTCAAGCAAATGTATGAAAAATGGATGCAAATGTCCCAGAGTTCAGCTGCTGTAGCTTGGGGGGTCTCGGAGGGGCGGGGGTCTGAGTGCCTCCTCTGTCTTAAACAGGGATATGGAATGGGGGTTGGCTGCCTCGAGGACCAGCCCCAGGCCCACAGAAGGCAGAGGCTGGGCTGAACCAAGGACCCTGCCTGTTGGCCATTGTTCTTGCCTGGGCTGGAAGTAAAACTCCAGTTCTAAGGTCAGAGAAGTATTTGGGGAGCTCCCTGCGCAGGTCCCTGTGCCTGCACCTGCTGGAGGCTTTTAGGAGTAAAAGGCCTCACCCCTTCCCTCCTTCTCAGCCATACTAGGTCCAACTGAACACGCTCTTATTCCCAAAAGGGAAAAGGTGGGGTGGGAGGACCCCTCTCCCGGGGTTGCTCCTCGTGCTGGGATTGTACCTTCTCCCCTAACCCCATTACCTCATAGTAGGCGAGGGTTCCTTCCTCCTTGGTGAACTGGCCCGCTAGTCCTGGGCCCGAGATTGGGGCTCCGACACCATTCTCAGAAGAGGCCAAAGTGTAGCTCTTCCCGAAGGTGGGGATGCCCATCAATAGCTTGCTGGCTGGGGCGCCCTGCCACAGCATGTACCCCACGGCGTACTCCTGGGTGGGGGCAGGACAGGGATAGACCAAGCAATCAGCCAGGCTGCAGGTGCGCGGGTGGGAAAGGCTGTCGGTTAATGCTGCCACCTTGGCAGCGGAAGGTACAGTTACACGGTGCCTCTGAGATTCTCTGTGCATCTGGGAAACACTAATTTCAGCTGAAAATGAATGCTAAAATTTCATTCTTAGAAAACTCCTTTAGGCATAGGAAGTAATCATTACCATTAGACAGATGCAGAATCCGGGGATTGGTTCAAGCACACCATGGCAGACTCCCCTCGCTCAGCCCCCAGTCTCCCTCCATTCTGGCCTGGCCTTTACTTAGTCTCCTTGCAGGGCCCATTCCCAGAGCCATGGAGAAGGTAGACTACTTCCTCCTCCGTGAGACAGGTCTTACAACCCCCAACTGGCAGGATTGTACCGAGGAATAGAGGGGCTGTGCGCGGGCCAGGCAGTGGCAGCGCTTTGTGACCCCTTCCCTCTCCTTTCTGGGCACCCACCACATTGTTGAATCCATTGGCCCTGCCATCCAGCGGGCCTCGGAAGAGGGGGCTGTGATGTCCTGTGGTTTTTTGCCAGGCTCCATGGAAATCATAGGTCAGGACGCTGATGAAATCCAGGTGTCTGGAAGGAGGAGCATGAAGCGGGAGGTGCAAGATTAGAAAAGCTCTTGGCCTCACTTCCAGGGTCCCAGCAGGGGAAGGAGACAGCTGACAGGCCATGGACTCAAAGGCCTGCAGCTCCCAGCTCAGGCAGAACAGAGGCTCGGACATACTGCAGTGCTTGTTTGGGAGCTGGCTTCCACCTTACTCGACCCCTCCACCTGACATCCTCAACCTGGTGACAGCAGCAGGGGCAGATGGTCCGGCAGGGAACAAGCGGGACCACGGGCTTGCCAACCCAAGGCCCACAGAGGGAAAGGAGTTTCCACAGCTGCACTGGTGAGGGGACTGTAGGGGTGCGGCATGCACGTGAGCTGGGGCACGCGGTTGACAGCCGCCTCTTTCCTACCCTCTACAGGGTCAGTTCAAGCACCAGGTCACATCCTCTGGGGTTCTGAAGGAGATTCTACAGGTGGGAGTCTCACCCTGCTGCCTGGGCTCACCAGAGTCCCTGCACGGCTGTTGGCCACTCAAAGTCGTGTGCATAAGGTGCAGCGTGAGGAAAGGGGCTGCCTGTGTGCACCCTGAAGGCTCCCCAGCATTTTAGAAATGAAAGCTAGGACTCTGCCTGGCCTGCTTTGCCTGGCATGAGGATGTCTGGTGGATTTCTACAGCCTTTTCTATTCCCTTTTGCAAACACATTCATAGCAGCTCTTTGAACTTGTCAACAACACCCCAAGCGGGGGTGGGGGGGAAAGGGCAAGGCTTGTAGTGCCCCATTTGACAGATTGTGAAATTGAAGTACAGGGCAGGAAAGTGACTTGTTCAAGTTCACACTCCGGCCCTTGCAAGAAAGAACTAGGTCCCGAAACTCGGTCTCCTGAGTCTTCACAGAATAAGAGGGCAGGGCTGGGGAGGGATGAGTGTCTGCTGGGAATGCCGGGCGGGGAGCACTGCCTGGGCAGGAGGCTTACTGGGATATCTGGGCAATGTTATAGCCTGCGTCGATGGTGACCTTCCCTGCAGATAACGCTGCGCTGAGCAGGAGCTGCTGTTCTCCAGGCTGGGTCTCCTTTATAAACTCAGCCTTCATTTCCTGGAAGAGAGAGACAGTCAGTGAGTGAGAGGCACCCAGGAGGCAGGAGAAGGACACTGCACAGGGACACCGAGGTCCCTGAGCACCCCATGAGCTGTCCCCATCTGTCCGATCCCCAGTCTGCCTGGGGATCAATGGAAATAATTTTTAAAATGGCCCATTGGGCTGGGGATTTATTGCAGTGCTGTGCTTGCCTCACAAGTTCAGTCCCTGGTCCCGGAGGGAAAAAAAAAGTGGCCCATCCATGGTCCCATCGTTAGGGTCACCCATTCATTCTTTTACTCGGCTGGACCAATCTCACCCTCGAATGCCACATACAGCCATGAGCGCTCCGTTACTTCCTGTGCTGGGGGGACCATGAGGACGGGTCAGGCTTTTCAGCCCATGCTTTGTTCTAGCTGGTACATGCAGTCACAAGACCAGCGAGATGGACACAGGGAGCGTGAGGTTTGTTTCTATTAGAGCCTTGCTCCTGGGGAACCAGAGAGGCACGGGCTCCCCTAACACTGTTGGTGCTCCTGGATGCATCCTGGGCAGCAAGAAACATCTGTTTAGGGCTGAACGGTGGGCATCGGTGTGCAGTGAGGCGGGTACTGAACTCCACCTCCCACTGTGGCCACAGGTATCTTCTTTGCTGAAGCCTCCTGCCTATACCTGGAGGACATCAACTGCAGACAGCTTCTAACCCACCCAATGCCCTGGCCCTGCCACCCACCACCCTGCTTTACTGGACTGGCCCGGCACCTTGATCAAGGTGGTAAAATGCTGCTTGTCTCTTCGTCCAGGGTACATCCAGGCTAGGTCTAGCCCATCAAAGCCATGGGCCCGCAGAAACTTTGGCACTGACTTGATGAAAGTCTTGCGCTTCTCAGTGCTGGAGGCTATGCTGGAAAATCTAGGACCCAAATCACCCCCACAGAGTGATCAGCACTGACACACTAGGTGCCCTGGCCTTGGGCGGGGTTTCCAGGACAGGAGGAGTAGGGATCCTGAGCCCACACAGCTCCGGGAAGGCCGGGTGGGGATAGCACCCACATCGGGCATCAGGAAGAGCTGTGCCCGGCCAGGGATTTAGCTCAGTGGTTCTGCCGCCTGCCTTGCAAGCGCAAGGTCCCAAGTTCAATCCCCAGTACCAAAAAAGAAAGAAAGAAAAAAGAAAGAGCTGTGCCTTAGAGTTGGGTATTTTTGGTTTCCAAGCCTGGACTGTCACTTACTAGCCAGCCACTCTGAGAAGATTGCAACCTAAGTCTCGGTTTCCTTATCTGTAAAGTGGAATAATCATAATCTCTCTGGTCCCCGGGAGGATCACCTGGGAGGTCACCTGGGAGGATCCCACATGATACTGTGGGAGAGGATCTGACTCAGTAAATTCTCAGCAAGAGGGAACTCTCTCAGCCACCTGCCCCCTTATCGAGCCCTCTCCAACTCTGCATGCTCTGAGGAGTCCTCTCTGGGTCTCCAAACCCTCAAATTGCTCCTTTGGTTTCTAGCCTGCTCCCCCAGCCCCTATGACAGAGTTCACAGAAGGTCTTTGTTTAGTTCAGAGAAGCACTGGAAAACAGCACCATGGGGAAAGAGAAGAGCTGCTGTCAACTTGCTGTGCGATTATGGGTAAGTTCCTTTAACTCTCTGGGCTCTGGTTTCATGGTTTTGCACGAAGGAGGCCCACAACAAGCATTTGAGCTTCTGCACCTAAAGTGCTGGAGCAGCTGCCACCCCACACAGTGGGCGGGGAGAGCCATGGCCCTTCTCTGTCCTTTCATTCTGCCCTAGGAACAGGTCCTACCTTTGAGAGCCAAAGTTCCATCCCCCAACAGACAGGAAGGTCTTCAGGCTGGGGTTCCTGTGGGGCAGCAAGAAGAGGAGGTCAGGGGTGGAATGAAGTTGCCAAGACACCAGGGTGCGTATCTAGGAGGCTTTAGCAGGGTTCCCCAAAGAATGGTGAAGTAGCATCCCACACATATTCCATGCTCCCTGCAGAGGCACCTTTGGTGAAAGAGAGGGCACCCTTCCCAGGAGAGCTCGGGGTGCCTCCGACAGTCTGCCCATTGTTGCTTCAAATGCTGCCCAACGCCCACCAGCATCACCCCTCTCACTGAAGCCAAGGCCTGCCAGTCCTCCACCAGAGGTGGCGCTGTGGGCCTGCACCCATCCTCTTGGATAGACCTGCCCAGCGCCCTCTGCTTTCCTGTCCGGGCCAGCCTGTGGCCTGACCTCTTTTTAAGTGAGTTCAGTTGGCCATAGAGTGTCACATCATTCCACTCCAGGGTGTCGATCTCATTGTTGCTTATGTTGGCAAAACTGTAGATGATGTGGGTACAGAGGAAGGGATCGATGGCATCGGGGAAACAGCTCCCATCACCCTCCCGGTACTGGGACCAGTTGGTGTAGTAGCAGACCAGTTTGTATGCAAAACCTGAAGGAGAAATCTGGGCCTGAATCCAGCCAGACACCCTCTGTCTGAACCCAGAGTTGAGCACCAATGGGGTGTGGGGGTGTGGCCTGGGGGAGTTGGCAACAGAGTTGTGAGCAAAATGAGAATTCTTAAATAGAAGGAGCCTCACTTCTGGCTTGGGATCTGCAGTGGGGTCTGATCCAAGAGAGGTTCTGGCCGGCCTATTCTGAGTCCCCTGCTGCTACCCCACCCTGAGGGCAATGCCCATGCTGGGGGATGGAAGTCCTTCCTCTCCTCTTATTCCCCAGCAAATGAAGTCCTTTCTGGCCACTTGGTCAGGGAGCCTCAATCCTCCCTGAGGTTCGTGGGCTCCCAGTCATGACTCCCTCGAACTGTTAGTCAGAGCCATCTTGGAACCTGGGCCTTTTAAAGTTTGTTTTGAAAAAATTCACATATGCATAAAAGTAGAGAAATAGAGTGACAACTATCCATATGTGCAAGCAGCTTGGTTGAACAAATGCAAATATCTCCAAGCCACTTGAATTGCAAAAGAGATTGGCAGAGTTCTCCACAGTGAGACCCCCCTGCCATACCCCAGCAGGCTTCATGGGGACCCGTGAGGAGTGGGGTGAGGGCAGGGGCTACTTACAGCACTGGAGCAACACCAGAACTTCGAAGCCTGGAGAGAAACGGGGGTCAGATTTCCTGCAGGTTCACGGGCCCTTCCTCCTTCCTTCCCCCACCCCAGGCCATGAAGAACTTCACAC